ACCTTTATTGACAGATGCGCATCTGGAGATCACAGCAACAGCAGCCAAAATGATCTGATCTGATCTTTCTAACATTGTGTATTATATACTACTCTTCCCGCCTACTTACATTCCTTAGGATGCAGCTGAGATCAATCAGCACCCAACCAAAGTTTTTATCCCACCATACACAGTACTTCTCTCATGACACCTGTCTTCCTCCCTAAAACTAAGGTACTTTTCTGTGATCAAAAGCACACATACACATAATGATTACATGAACACTCAGTAATGCTGAGAAAGTTAAAACTTGTCCTTATCAGTTCATTAATAACAAAACAATAGAGTGTACTAGACATCTCCATGTCCTACTGTTTTCAATCATTCTGCCTTTTCCTGTAACTCCCTGCATGGGAAGCAGTGCTGAGCATCACTCTCAAGGCACATCACAGTAAATACACATTGTAGTTAATTAAAACATGGTTAAAGGTTACATTCTTGTTTTAGTTCTATTACATGAAACAGTGCTCATACCTCAAACTCAGTGAAAGTTACATTCCATCTAAGTGAAGACTATACCAGTGCTTTCAGTTACAGTGTATTCAAACCGTCTAATACAGCGTAACCATGGTAACTGCCCTGGAGCAGCAGCTCCTCATAAGCACACACACCACGTAGTGAAAGTTATACATGGAGACTTTCCCCATAAGTACATAAGTGAACATACTATGACCAAATGAAGGCCACACTTTTATTTCCAAAACAGTGTCATATTAAGATAAGGATTTCCAAACAGTGCTTGTGCTGTAATCATACAGGAACCTTAATATTACATTTCATATAGTGTGTAAAGATACTAGTGTTTTCTACAATATATATATTCTTGTGTGCACAGTGAAGTGTTAATGCCTGAAGTTGCAATGTCTTACACAGTTAATATCTAACAACAGTTTAGGATTTGGGAGGATGAGCTAAGGGATTTGCCCAAAAGTTCTTTGGTTGGGACTGCAGCTTCAACACAGCAAAGATCGCAGACGTTTAAGTGGATTGCATGAGACTGTGAAAATATTGCTGGATGCTGAAAAAGATAAAGGTCAGCAGTGGGGTGAGGTGGAGGAGCCCTCCCCCTGTCACTCACCTGACCCCGGCAGGGGGTCCACTCCTAAACTAACAACAGAAGATGAGAAGAGATTAGACCTCAGAGGAGTGAAATCGAAGCTCTCTCAAGCTACTCAGAAAGCTCTGACATCACATCAACTTCAAGGGGTGGATTATTCCTCACCGGAGGAAGAAAGGGGAAAAATGGATGCAGTGATTACACTTAACACCAGCAAAGAACAAGGGCATTCAGCTGTGACTGACGAGGGGTCAGAATTCCCACTTTTGTGAAAAAGGGCACAGTTACATAATGTGCCCTGGCCGACGTTGGATTTAGAGGGCTTGGTGCAGCGCCTCGCCTGTCTCCAAGTTGGTACTGGGAAATGGATAGCTGAATTTGAGGAGGAAACTATTGCTACAAATTTGGCAATGGGAGACATCAAGGCATTATTGGGAAAGATTTTGGGCAAACAAGAAATGGAGGAAGCCGGAGGAAGCCGAGGAGAGCAGCTCAATTGGACACATATGTGGGAACACAAGCCCATGATGGAGATATTTTCAACCAAGATATTTGCAATTCGTTTTCGTACCTAGACCACAAAGTGTCATGATTCGGTTTCGCTGCTTCCTGTCCGGCTTTTATTTTGACCTTACTTCCTGTTTTTCTTTCACCTCTGTTTCGGTCTTTTTACTTTTACTAATCACTCACATTAGATTCACCTGCTCCCGATAGTTTGCACCGCATTATAAGCAACCTTCACCCACCAGTCCCCGCCAGATTTTTCTAGACGCCAGCTCTGACTTTCCAGCATTATATTCGATTTGTGTATTTCTCGTGTTTTGACCTGGATTGTGTGTTGTGACTATTCTGCTCTGTCTTGCCCTCTTGCTACGGGCTGCTACTGTGTATGATTATCAGACTACCCCTTTGGATTACGTATTTTGGATTCCTCTGCTGTATGTGTTTGCTGGCTCTGATCTTGGACCGTTATACCGACCGTGAGTTTTGTATTTCATTTTGTATGGGTTTTTGTTTAGCATTATTTCTCTTATTAAAGAGACGATTTTGTTTTACATTTCCTCGTCTGGCCTTTTAATGAGTTCACCAACATTTTCGGCAGCATTACACGCTGATTCATGACGCAAAGTTTTGGCTCCTACAAACCTGCAAGAAAAACCATCACCTTTATTACTGCACTCTCTGCTGAGATCTTTACCTGGTGTATGGAACCCTGCCTCCGACATTGTGTGCTGTAGTGCACATTGCACTTGCTCCTGTCTCACTTTCAACTTCTATCAACACAGCCGCTGCTTCCCTCGCTGACAACATCCTGTCTGAGTCAGCTTCTCTGCAGCAACGGTCTCAACTCACCTCAGCTCATCACTTGACTCAGCAGTAGATCTCCAGCAGCCAATCTCTCTAGCACCATCATGTGTAGGCCAGTAGATCTGCACTCACATCAGCTCATCACTCGACTCAGCAGTTCATCTCCAGCAGCTTGTCTCTCCAGGACCATCACGTCTAGGCCAGCCAATCTACAGTCTTTCTCTACTCACCTCAGCTCTCACCTCAGCTCATCACTCGACTCGGCAACCCCTCTCCAACAACTCATCTCTCCGGCATCACTCCACCTGGTTCAGAGACTGTGCTCTAACCGAGGTCTTGTTTTCTTACTGATTTCTGTAGTTCGGGTTCTGCTCTCTTTCTCTTCCTCAACAACAAGTGGAGGTGAAATTGAAAACGGGTTGTAGACCTCCATGGAGACCAGAATATCCGCTGAAACCTGAGGCAGAGACAGGCATTGAGCAGACAATACGGGGCCTGCTGGAAGCAGGTATAGCTTAAAAAATCTTAAAGCCCATAATTGTTCAATGCATTTATGCCTTTTATTGACTATACAATATTGTAATAAAGGACAACTACTGGTTTGAAACAGGACAAAATATTTCAGCAAACATGGAAAAGCAGAAAAAAACTTGCTAATAACAGAAAAGGTCTGCAAATGAAGTGCTTTTGGGATTTCGATATTTTTAGCAGAACTCAACAGGATCATGGTAGGACTGTTAACAATGTCATCCTCCCTCTGGAAGTTCATATGCATTTGATAAAACTTGTAGGATCGGCTTCATGTCTGTTATCTCTAAATTATTAAGGAAGGAAATGCACATAACTTTCATGATTCAAGGATCGAGTTGATCAGATCATTTTAACAGCTAATGGTTTTGCATGTGTAATACACTTGTAATCAAATTATTTAAACCTCCCCAGTGGATCAAATCTTATGCAGCTCTGTAGAAATCATTTCCACCCTCACATATGACACAAAACCAGAAACCTAAAACTAGACCAAACATTGTTTTATAAGGCTGAGGAGAGGTCAGTGTGGCTGTTAAGTCCAGAGGACAAAGCAGCACAAAATTCAGCATCTCTCAGTAGCATATGTGTTTAAAAGATATCAGTAGCACTTTTTTACTAGGCCTGATTTCCAGGTCATTTAAATGGCCAACTCAGCATTAACAAACTCAAAGAGATTTTCTTTAACAGAGTAAAGGCCTCATTTCAGTCACTCCACACTGACTTTTTACAGTATGCTGGACTGACGGGAACCAGGCTTCAGAATTTGAAGTGTAATAACAAGTTTAATAGATTTTCTAAACCAGGGATAGAATAGGGCATATATTATAGGGTTTAGACAGGAGTTAACATACAATAGACATATTACAAATCCAGCAGATGAGGCATTGAGCAAGGTAAGCTCACCTATAAGTGTGGTACAGAAGTATGGGCAGATGCATAACAGAAACACAGCTATTACAACACCAAGAGTCCTGGCTGCTTTCAGCTCAGATTTCTTAGCACTGACTGAACTCTTAAGTGTGGCAGCTGTAATGTGAGACCTCATGGCACGAGCCTGAGACACAGCCACCACAAACACTCTCATATACAGAACTATGATCAGTGTAATGGGAATGATAAAGGTCAAAATAAGATTTGCAATTCGTTCTATCAAGGTCAAGACTATCACACACTCCCCAGCACAAGAATTATACCTGCCTGGTTGATTCAGGTTATTTTTAAACAGCACAATGAAGCAGAAGAGAGAAAAGAACCAACACACTGAAACACAGATTCTAACTCTTTTAGGAGTGACTTTGGTGGAGTAATGCAGAGGGTCACAAATCGCCACGTAGCGGTCAATTGATATGAGCACCATGGTTCCTATTGAGGAAGAGATAATAATGGAATCGAAAACACAATACAACAAACACATAATGTCACCGAGGTACCAGCAGCCGTCTATGAGCATAATTTGAACCATCAGGAGGAAGCTGACAAAGAAATCTGACACAGCCAGAGAGAGGATGAGGAGGTTGGTGGGGGTTTGGAGCTGCCTGGAGAGGACAGACAGTAACATATATATCATTATTTGTAGCATCAATTAGTATTTCAAAATATAAAAAAATACAAATGACACTAGCATTTTCAGAAAAAATGTGTTGCTTTCAGTCATTTAGTTACTGTATGTACAGCTATAGTATCATAAAGTGATTAAATATGTGAGTACTTGAAGTGGGAGATGGAGATGATGACCAACATGTTGAGAGTTGCAGTGAGCAGAGAGATGGATGCCAGTACAATATAAATAAACACAGTGTCAGAGAGACAACGCTTTGGCTTGATACAGGAGGTGTTGAGTTGTGGAAAGCATAGTTCAACTTCCTGCATCATCATAGAGAGAGAAGGAGAGGACAAACTGCTGAGCTCTGGCAGCTCTTTGACCAAAGCTGGCTCTGATATAACTTTAGTTGCTCTGTTTTCACTGTTCTAAGATTCTCTCTCACTTAGAAACTAATGTCCCTCCTCCCCCGTTGTGTAAACTGTCATCATCAATCTCTCTGCTTATGTGGAATTCTATTATTAATATGTATAACTGAAAAAAAGTACAAGTCATGTAATCTTCCAATACATGTATGTTTGGCATGTCACCTAGGATCCTTTGCAACTTCTACAGCTGCATTGTCAAGAGCATCTTCACCAGCTGCATCACTGTCTGGTATGGCAGCCCTACTGCAATGGACCGCAAGCACCTGCAGAGAGTGGTAAAGACTGCGGAGAAGATCACCAGGACTCCACTGCCCCCTCTCCCAATGACACCACGAAAGAACATCTTAGTTCTGGCTCCTGTACATATTTTTATAATCTTCTTTGGAATTTGACTCTGGTACATTGGCTCTCGATGTGTATGTACATATCCCCATGCAAGGGGCAAGTAAACAGTAAACTAGCATAAGGCTGTGTAATATAACAAGCATTAACAAGCAACAAACAGTGCAAACAATGCAAAATAAAGTATAAACTGGCAGTAAACAATGCAGACAAAGGAATGCTTATTGACATGAGATAAATAGAAATAAAAATAGAGTATTTAAAAATAGAGACTTGTACGAACCCGTATAATCTGTACAAGGTACATTTACAGGTATTGCACTGAGGGTTATTGTCCAGTTAAACTGTCAGCTCAGGAAGTTCGACCTGCCCCAGGAGCTGCTGATACAGTTCTACAGAGGGATCATTGAGACTGTT